CAGTGACAGCCATGAGGACGAAGCAACACGCCCACCACCGACACTGTGTCACGTCAAGGGCTGTGTTAAGAAGCTGGACCCACACTCAGGAGTCTGAGCCCTGCTGTGTCAAACACCCCAGGGCCTGGTGATGGCGCCTGATGCTCTGCAGCCCTGGCTGATGACTTCACGGGGGTAACGCGAGCCTCCAGCCTCAGTAAGAAGAGCCAAAAGTGACAAAGCCCACAGAGAAGGCTTGTGAACACAGCAAACGTTCTCTGAGATGGGGTAGGGGATCCAGGATCAGTGCTGAGGAATCTTAACCCACTTGTCCATAACCCCCCTTGCTGGGGACTCACTGACAAGTGTGTTCCTGGAACAAACCCTGCCCTCTCCCCAGGAGTCAGAATGCCAAATACCGCTGGCACCAACTGGGGCCCCATGCGGATGGCTGGGTGTATTTTTAGCTATTAGGGGAAAGCTCTGTGTAAGTCTCACACCAATCCACCACAGGCACCTCCACCTGCCAGACCCCTTCCCTGGGGACGCGGGGTCCTCAAAGTCATGCATGACCCTCAAGATGCATCTACAGCCACATTCTGGATACACGGAATATGGGTAATTCTGTCCAAGCACATGACGTGGTTCACTTCTCAGCAAACACACCCAGCCCTTTCCCCAAGTCAACAGGAAGCACAATCCACGCCTGCCAATCAAAAGTGACAAACCAATGTATGTGTCATCCATGCATAAATGCCACATGCACACACACTGTACATACATGCACACCACATGCCTGCATGCACACGTACTTACTATAGACACATGTAAACAAATACACACACTACACACACACATACCTACATACACTCACACTTACCATGCACACATGTAAATACACACACACACACATATACACAAACACACTACACATACACCCCCCACACACCTGCATGCACACACATTTACCATGTACACATGTAAATAAACACACACACATATATACACAAACACACCACACATACACCACACACACACCTGCATGCACACACTTACCATGTACACATGTAAATAAACACACACACTATGCATATGCACACCCCACACACCTTCACACAATGTATTTACTTTATACACATATTTAAAAATACACACACATATACAGACACCCCTACACACAACCTACACACCTGCACACACATAAACTTAACACATACTTATGTATATACACACACTAAGCATACACACACTCCCCACACACACATGTACTCACCATACACACATAAAAATACACACACTTGTACTTATATATACATGCACACACTATGCATATGCACACTCCCACACACCTGCACACACATGTACTTACCACACACATATGAACAAATACACATACATACACTTATATACACACATACACACATAGCACATATACACACACCACACACATCCTTACCATGCAGTCATATAAACAAATACACACACATGCTCATATAAACACATACACACATACTACACATACATACACCTCACCCACTACACACATACATACATACCATAAAAAAGCAAAACCAAACTCACTGCTGTTGAGTCATCTCCGACTCATAGCAACTCCTCCTTGGGTTTCCAAGGCGGTATCTCTACAGAAGTAGATTGCCCAGCCTTCCTTCCAAGGAGTGGCTGGTGGGTTCGAACCACCAGCCTTCTGATTAGCAGTCAAATGCCTTAGGCATTATGCCACCGGAGCTCCCACATACATACCATACATACATACAAACACACATACACACATGCATACACCCAGACCCCACATATCTATACACATACACACTACACAGACACATGCATAAAATGCACACATATGCACTCATACACACTACACAAACACAGTACACACATAGACACACATATGCACATACCATACATGTACCTTGACAGCTTAGCTCACCACAACTGGGCTGAGGGAAAGATCAGACACCACAGCATCCAAACCCCCGGTTAAAGCACACCAGAGCGGTTCAGAAGAGCAGGGAGGTGACCAGTCCCACACGGGACATGGCGTTGTCTTCATTACCCACCTGAAGGCCTGGCTGCTCCCAAAACAGCGGCACGGAGCCTCTGATCTGGACGAAAGACGACAGCCCATCATCCATGTAAATCGTCTGCACCGGCAGGAAACATAAAGGGAGAGAGAGTCTTCAATGAAACCGAGAGTCCGGGCTGTGTAACTGGATCCTGCTGCCCGAGACCCAACACCACCCAGCACGAAGGGCAGACAGTGGACTGCAGCGCCCTGACCTGCGGCCAGCCCCTGAGCCAACGGGCCTGCTGGGCGGCCTCCCAGGCCTGGTGCCCAAGCCTCCTTCCAGAGCGTGACCAAGTGCCCTGTCGCCAGGGTCAGCTGGAGCTGTGGAGGAATGTGCCCTTCTCGGGGCATGACCTTACTGACTGACCTCCCTGGAGAGCCCATGGTGCCCCACCCCACGTGAGGAACAGAAGCAGGGCTACTCTAGGATCTCAGTAAGGCCTTCTCTTGTTGTCAGCTGCCATGGAGGTGGCCCTGACTCATGGTGACCCCGTGCACAATGGGAGGAAGCCGTCCCCACAACCAGCTGTGGATCAGACTGTTGTCATTTATAGGGTTTTCACTGGCTGGGTTTCGGGGATGAGATTACCAGGACTTTCTTCCTGGTCTTAGTCTAGAAGCTGTGTTGAAACCTGTTCACATCACTGCAACACAGATGCGCCCACTGACCGACGAATGGGGGCTGTGCAGGAGGTATGCTGGGCAGGAACCAAACCTGGGTCCCCGTGTGGAAGGTGAGAATTCTATCACTGAGCCAGCACCGGCCCCACATGGCCTTCCCTGGAGCCCTCACTTTTCACCTTGTCACACAGCTAAATGGCAGCAGTCCCAGTGAAGGGTTGAATGAAGCACAGTCAACAGCTACATCCTAGGCTGTGCTCAGTACACTAGTCTAGCCCGTCCTTGAGGACACAAGTCAACACTTGACTTGAACTTGCCCTTAGTCCTGGCCCTGTGATACTGGGTTCTTACACATAAGTCAACACTCAATACAGTTTCTAGAAGCATCCCGTGTAATGGCCTGCCTTAAAAAAAGAAACAAAAAACACTGCCGCCAAGTCATTCCCAACTCATGGCAACCCTGCCTTGGGTTTCCAAGACGATATCCCTATGGAAGTAGACTGCCTAATCTTCCTTCCAAGGAGCAGCTGGTGGGTTTGAACTGCTAGCCTTCTGGTTAGCAGTCAAGTGCTTTAGGCACCATACTACCAGAAACAAACAATACTTCCATTTTTAAAAATATACCTCTTCCCCACCCATGTGCACACTAATTTGAGTGGACCAGCTCCTAGTGGACATGCAGGCATTTGTGTGCAGAGTGAGGGAATTTTAAGAGGACATGAAGAACAGTCCTGAGTGTCCCAGGGGAAGGCTGGGGATCTTATCATAGCTCAGGCTTTATCTGGGTAACTGTATCCTGTCCTGGCAGGGCCGGCGAGGCCGTGGGTCCTTGCCATGTCTCACCACCCTGCTCCCTTACCGGGTAGCTTTCCATGGCAGGAGATGACGCTCAGGTGGCACATACATTAGTCATTCTGCAGTGGAGGACTTGGAAGACAGACCTGCAGCTCCCCTGGACCACAGCAATGATGTAGGCCTGGGATCTACAGCGTCAGATGGCAAGTCTACCCACTAGTCTCCAGGGGAGAACAGCGCTGGGGGACAGGGTGGCTGCCTGTTTCAAGATATCAACCCTCCAGCAAGTCCAGTGCACCCCCTTGGTCTACTAACAGAGCCGGAACTGAACAGCAGCGCGCATAAACTCTTGCACGCACACACATACACATACACACACCCTGAGATGAGTCAGTAAACCTGACCAGCAGCTGTGACTCGCAGTCCATAGGACTGAACAAGAAGCCAGTGTAGCCAGCAGAATTCCCTTAGAGAATCGGCCCTTTTCAATGCCCAGGATCTGGGTTCAGTCAACAAACGATCACCCGTCACCCTGATTAATGCTGCTAACAGCACTGTCTCCAACATCCACCCAATTCCTCTTGAGCTTAAACTTGGGCAGAGCTGGCTTCGGAGAACCCCAATATGCAGTCCCAGACCCCACCCCTGGAAGACAAAAAAAGATGCCTCCAAATGCCCCCAAGTCTTCCTCCCATGTGACAGTTACATTCTAGTTCTGACACCATCCTATCCCCAAGGCCACCTTTGTTCCCAAGGTAATGGGACCTACCCTGACCCTCAAACACCGTGAGGGAGTTGCTGTGCTTCTATTCTGGGTAAGAGAGCACAGGTGTAACCTGCCGAGGCCTCACCTCACAGACAATCCCAACTGAGGACGTTCCGGTCCACGGGAGCTGGGGGGAGGCAGACATGAGCATGGAAGACCAACCCTCTGTTCTGCAAACTCCCACTTCCCCAGCAGGCTGACCCGCAGTGTCCATGTCTGTGAATGCAGTCGGCATCACCCGGGGCAGAGAGAAGTGACGGCTGTGAGGGGTGAATGAGAGGGTGTGACCCCAGGCATCAAGGACTTGCCCCAAAACGTAGCTCCTCTCTTTGTTGAGGGTGTGTGGAGGAGGCTGTCCAGAGAGGAGGGAGAGAAGGAAGGTGGGCAGGGTCAGAAGACAGGCAAATGGGTTTGAGCTGAGGGAAGAGGGAATGGACAAAGAACAGATGGGGTGGGAAGGAAACCCCGGAGAGCATTTCAGGAGGGAGGGAGCCCTGTGCCAATGAGGTGAGACCAGGTAGGGCCCAGGGCTGGGCACCAGGAAGCCTCAGGTGACCTTGAGCAGCCCCTTTCACGGAGCAGTGGGAACAGAAACCAAAGGGCCACTGGAAGACGGGCACAGGGCAGGAGTACTGGAGAGTGTATTTTACCTGAAAGGCCTTTTCTGAACTACGCCTAATGCGGCATCTGCAAACCAGTGTCTCCTGTCTGACACACAGGAACCCAACCCTCCCAGCACTAACCAGTGGCCTTATCTCCAGCCGTCCAAGATTTAGCCTTCTGTTTTGGAGGTGGGCGGTGTTTCTGCAGGATGAGTCATGACTGTGGAGCAAACCTCCGAGATGTGACTCACCACAGCACTGAAGACTCATGGCCTCCTGTAAGGAGGTGGAAAAGGCCGTCTACAAACACTCCAGGCTCTCACACACTCACACACACTCTCACATTTCACACTCCCTCACACACTCACATATGCACTCTCACACATTCACACACTCCCCTCACACACACAAATACGTGCTCACACATGCCGTTCTATGCAGACACGTACTTCCTCATATACTCACACATGTACTCACTCTTACACACACTCATACTTACACACTCCCCTCACACTCACACATGTACTTCCTCACACTGACACATGCCCTCAAACACAGACACACTCACACATTCATGCACTTCCTAACTCATGCACACACACTCAAAATCTCTGTCACACACTCATACACTCTCACACTCATTCTCTCACAACTCACACATGCACTCACACATTCACACATACAACACACAAATGTATCCGTCCACAAGTCACATATGTGCGGACACACTTACACTCACATGCACTCACACATGTGCACACACATGTGCACACACTCACACACACAAACTCACACGCACACGGCCTGCCATGAAAGCAAATGTGGAGGGTGCAGAAGGCTCCCTCGTCTTCAGCTTCTGAGGGTTTAATTCAGGAGAAGCCATGCTGCCTGCTGAGAGCTCCCCACACAACAGGGGGCCAGTCTGCTCTTTCTGGGGTCTCTGGTTGCACCAGCAATTAGTCAGCAGCCTGGGTGCTCACAGGGACCTATCCTTCCAGAGACTGGGGGCATGTGCTGCAGACTCTTACTTCCTAAGAGAGGCCCCTTGGAGACCAGCATCACCCTCAGACCCTGGAACCAGAGAGGAAAGACCATGTAGGAGCAGATCTGCGATTTCTGGAGCCTCCGAAACTGCCCTCCTTCCTGCAACGTCGCTCCCTGCCCCCTGGGGCGAGGAGACCCAGGGTGAAGTGCCCATTTCTGTACCTGTACCCCGGAGGAGGCAGCCCCCACTCCCTGCATGACTCAAGCCCAGTCCGCCCACTGACCCACCCTGTTCAAGGAGCTTGAAGATTGAACACAGTTTGCCACCTCACCATAATCAAAGCCACTAAGACCACACAGCTAGGAGCATATTCAACCCCTGGTGCCACATCCCAACCCAAGGGCCCCACACTAAGGTGTCACAAACATGAGGAAGCAGGTGGACCTGCCCTGTGAGCACCTGACCCAGGCACCCAGAAGATCACCACAGTCCTGGAAACATCCTCAGAGGCCAATTCAGGCTCCTGGCCATGCACCCTGCACCCACTCTTTCAAAGGACCTGTGGGCCGGCCTTCCCAAGCACCAGATTTCTCTAGTGGCTACCAGGGGCTGGGACAGGGAACAATGGTGAGTGAAAATGAGCTTTGCCAGCAGGTGGCAGCAGCTGCTGAGAGCCTGGGACTGGGGAGGGTGGGAGGCAGAGCTGCCCTGTACTGGCAACATCAGTACCTATGTACCCCAAAACACCCAAGCCCACTGCCATTGAGTTAATTCTGACTCACAGCAACTCCGTAGCACAGAGTAGAACTGCCCCAGAGGGTTTCCAAGGCTGTGATCTGTATAGAAGCAAAGCCCAAACCAAACCCACTGATGTGGAGTGGATTCCAACTTACAGCACCCCTAGAGGACAGAGTGGAACTGCCCACAGTGTTTCCAAGGCTGTCAGTCTTCACGGAAGCAAAGCCCAAACCAAACCCACTGCTGTGGATTCGATTCCGAGTCACAGTGCCCTAGAGGACAGAGTGGAACTCTGCCCCAGAGAGTTTCCAAGGCTGTCATCTTTACAGAAGCTGACAGCCGTATCTTTCTCTGGTGGGTTTGAACCACCAACCTTTAGGTTAGCAGCCCAATTCTTTAACCACTGAAACACCAGAGCACCTTAGTTAAGTATGTGCTCCACCTAAAGAACAATTTGTGTTCAAAAGGAAAAATAAGTTAGCCCAACCTAA